GACATGTCACATTACCCAAACATGGTAATAGGCAATACATTGTGATTTTGAAGGAAAAAAAATTCACGTAGGTTGGTTTTTCAAAAGCCTTTGCGATCGAGTTATATGGAGTCTGACTCTTCTCTTCAAGTCGTCGTCTATCATTCCATCTCCTTCTGTCGTTATCATTTTTATAAGAGGATGATAGTATGACCTTGAGAAGTGATGATGTTCTCCGACACAGTCATGTCCGAGGGGATGATCAAGATAGCATCCAAGAGTATATTGGGGGTATCTGGATTGGAGCATAGGCTATCATTAGTCATGAAAATTGCAAAGGTGAGTTTTTTGTTGTTGTGGGCAGTTGAGATGGATGGATAAGAAATTCATGAAATGATAATGAAGCTCCGAAATGATGTTGTTAGCTGCTCTTTTAATCCCTCTTGAATTCAATGACATGTGTACATGTAAGTGAGACGACGATGTACAGGCATGGGAATAACAGAGCGAAGGTAATATATTTAGATGATGGAGAAAGAGAGAGAGAGAGAGAGAGAGAGAGAGAGAGAGAGAGAGAGAGAGAGAAAGAGTAGGAAAGACTAAAGGATGGTGAGAAAAAGCGAGGGCGGAAAAGGGGGAACAGACAAAGAAAGATGTGTTAAAGCGATCATTTATATCTCCAGACTAAAAAAAGGTAGGCGAAGGAATGAAAAATAAAGTGAGCATTGCATGTAGTTTGGAGAGAGAGAGAGAGAGAGATGAGTAAAATTGACTGGTATAAGGACATGTAGCGCATGAAAGAAAGTTAAAAATTAGGATAGAAAAGACATGACACGGTCAGCATGTTAATGTATGTTACACCTTCAAAAAGGACAATCTGATAAGTTAGTACAGAGACCAGCGCGGTTCTCCTCACATATTATAAGATAGCCCATGACAAAATATAACTTTATAAAATAATAGAGAGAGAGAACAAATGACGTGAGAGGCGTGATAAGTATGTGACACCTTCAATAAGCACAATCTTCCACCATCTCTCTGCACAATCTGATTATATCATAGTACAGAGACTGTGGCGTTTTCGATTCAAGACGAGAGTGAATATAATGGCAGTTCAGATACATGGACACGTAGCTCTCGATTATTCCATCCTTCATCCTACCAAACTCTACAAACAAATACAAAAATACTACAACCATCGATTTCTCCCTGATTCAATTCCTAATTCCTGCAATGTAATTTGAGTGATAGGTTAATGACAATTTCTCCGCATGCACTTGAAGTATCTCTCCGCCATCTTATAGTTTCTTTGCACACCGATCATTAACTGGACAGTCTGCTCGTTGCTGACGCGACGCTTATAAAGGCGATTAGACCATTTAAGATTAATCCTCGCAATCCCTCACTCCATTTCAATCCTCTTTTTGTTCTTCTGTTTTGGGGAATGAGACTCTAGACAGCGCGAAGTAGGCCACTTGTTCCACTCTCTCTCTCTCTCTGAATTAAAGAGAAGTTGAGCTCTAACTATTAAACGGTGGAAATAATTGTTGAACCGTTTCGCTCTTTCACTTCGATGTGGAAGAATATCGTGACAACAATGGCACATAAAAAGGGATCTGTTTTCTTGAAATGTTCACATAATCCATATCCATCCCAGTATAGCTTGGAAAAGCTGCTTCAGGGATTACCTCATGCATCAAGTATCAAGTATCCATGTATATATAACTGGAATTAATTTCAAACTTTGCATCAAGTTTGATGTCACATGACATTGTGTGTAGCCCCACACAATAAATAATTACAATAGTTGGGTCTTATATGTACTGAGGGTAGCAACATCAAGTCATCAATACTGCTCTTCCTGGGGGCTTTTCGACTATTATACACCAGGGTGGAGAGCGTTAAATGTGGATTGTTGTCTTGCAAAATGACGTAAATTCCGTGTTGGGATTCGAATCATCAACGTAGAGCGAGGGTCAATGGAATGAACTACTAGTCATGTAACACGATACCTCCACGTGTGCGGATTTGTCGTGGTAAATAAGCCCCTCCATAATAATATTATGATCGTATTTTATGTGGGAGTTGTTTTGACTACATGCTAATTCAGCCAGTTTGAGCCAATTCGTCACCATTTTTGATGATTCTAATACCCAATAATTCCCAATCATGTGCTACACAATCAGCCTGTCGAGGTAACTTCTTGATGTTAATAGCTTCTTTCAAATTGTTATCGTACATGTGTATGACAAGAACCAAACTTTATCTTTAAACTACGATTAATTGCATTGGCCCAAGGGATCCATTTAATCGAGACCGTTTGAAATGTATTAACCCGAGGACAGGAAATGGATATAATAATGATGTATTTTGTTTTCGAATCATGACCCATTTATTGCAGCTGGGACAACACTAATAGTCTTCTAAACACGTCTGCATTGCTATCAAGAGAATATCCCTTCGATTGCATTTTTATTTCTATATTTAAAGACAGAGTGGAGTTCTGGTCAATTTAAGGCTGTGAAAGAAAGTCTATGGAAGCAACAGGGAATGGTAATCATGTAGCACACAGTAATCGGTGTACACTGTGAGGTTTTGAAGTCATCAAAATGACAAAGAAATTTACCCAGTCTTGCTCAAAGTTATACGCACTGTATACACCGGAATGGGTATATGGCATTACACGAAGATGTGGCACCCTTCTGTTATTGTTATTTTTCTTTTTTTGTGGGAGTGATCATAAAGCAATTTGAAGCGCAATCCTATTCAGGGAACACTTTCTCTTTCTATGATATTCTTCCACACTATTACCAGCCTAAGAACATTGAAAAAGGTCTTACAATTATTGGTCACCTTTTAAAGGCCGTCTGTAGTAGTTTGGCTAGGAGGGATTAGACTACCCAGGGTGGTCACTGACAGGTGGCTATCTCATCAACTCAGCTCTCAATTAAGATAAGAAAAAGAGGATCGTGGGGGACCAATGGTCACCGATTAGGCATTGTTTTCTTTATAGAGGGAGCAAGTAGCTACAAGTAGTAAAGTGGGGCTTTAATACCAAAGCTCAACCTTTCTTAAATGTCTTGCCAGAGCAAGAGAACGAATACCCTTCGATCACCGTGATTTTCTTTCCCTCTTTAATCTCAAGTCATCGTTTTCATTTCCTTTCCTTCTTCGGCCATTTCCTTTCCTTCTTCGGCCATTTCCTTTCCTTCTTCGGCCCTAGCTAATCCGGGTCCCCTTTCAATCTCTTAGCCCCATTTCCATCATTCTTCCGCCCCGTCCGTCCACCCTTTTGAAGACAACTATTCCATTTCCACTTGTCCATAATGTATGATTTTGTTACACAAAAACCATTATTTTAATGAAAAAGAGAAATTCATGCTCTTCTGTTTTATGAATAAATGCGTGATCCAAACGAAAAAAAGCTTCCTGCAGATTCAACCGCTTGATAGAGCGAAAACATATTCTTTATTTGCATGTAGTAAAAACATTTTGAAATGCATTTTTGAGTCTGTACGAACAATGTAAATCAATCTGCTTACTACAGGTCATGGAATTTAAGAGAACGTAAGTTTTTGCTATAGCCTTCTGAGATAATTTGCATCAGGAAAAAAACACTAATTCTACTCATGAAAAGATAAATGATGCAAAAGGCCCGAAAATACTATCCGGATAAAATTTAAAAAAAAAACGAACGTACTTACAAATCGGTTTTGACTTTTGAGAGTACTTATAATCTCTATTTTACAGTGCTTGTTAGCATTATATCACTGAGTCTCTTACTTGCGAGAGAAATTTACAATTCACACAGCAGTGTGAAAAAATATGAATTTCTCGCTTTTACCAAAACTCAATCCTAAAACAATCATCGGTATTTGCGATGTTATCCTATTTCTTGTTCCCCTGTGTATATACTTCATATTCTCTGAGGGGAGTAGATAGAAAGGTGCGATAAGGAAAAAAATTATCTGATCATAAAGAAAAAAACGATATTAATCATATGTATTGTCTTGTTCCTTATCTTTATATCCCTTTTCCAATTGAGATCAAATATACTCTTTTTGTTTTGCTGAGAAACCTGGTTCAGTACGCCTACATAAATTTAGAAAACTTAGATTAGACAAATTCTCTGTATTTTACTTGTTTTACTGTGCATTATATATAAAACATGTGGGGAAAATACTTCCATGATGTATATACGTCGTTTGTCAATGAATATAATTATCAATCTTATAACAGAAAGCCTGACCAACTAACATATTACGCACGATGATTTCAACTGAGATTAAATTTTTAAACTATATTTTGGTTAAATTTCGATGTCCATGATTCTCTAATACTCAGCCTGTGTCTCCAATAGACCGGTTTATTAACATATTCAAATATTATGCATAATTTTTAAACAAAGGTTGTTCTTGACAACCTTAAAGCTTGCCTGACATTGCAACAAGTATTATATGCAGACTGGATTCCGAGTAATGTAGTTCGTTCATTTAACTATTATAGCGCTTAGAGATTTCGGTGTTAAGCGCTTTATAAGCACCGTTATTATTATTATTATTATTATTATTATTCATTCTAAACACGTTAATTGAATAATTCATCACTAGGTCCCCAGGAATAAAACATCAACAAATTTAAATACGTTAGTAAACCAGTTTATATTAGTACCACATGGAATTCGAGAGGAGACCGTGGTAAGGCTGTGACATCATAAAACACATTCCCTGGAATGTGCACTATTTACATTTATGATTTACCATGAATTTGTTTTTGTTGATATTGTTATCGAAATGAAAACAAACAAATAGCAATGTAACTAAGCAGTCAATGATTTACTTGTTAACACCAATCTCTGTCTTTAGTTCTCTTAGCACAATTTACAAGTATAATGTTCGAGAAAAGAGATTTTAACAAGTCGTAACATAATGCGTTATGTGTACATATAGAATATTATCATGAATGTTATTAGCAAAGAACGATTTAAAATATAGGTCATCGGTTATACGAAATATGCTTACCTATGATGAAGGAAGAGCAGATGACTAGAACCACCAGTGGTATATATCCAAGTTTTGATTCCATATTTATAAATGTTTACCTTGACGAATCCTGAGCTAAAGGTTTAAAGACGATGAAGCCATAAATTATCATCCAATACAAAGTATATGCAACTGTCGTTTGATTATATTCCAATTAGAGTATATTCAGGAACATGGATCGTTTAATTAACCGGTGCTTGTTGGTCGCTTTAAACAAACAACACCGTAGTGTATTAATTATACGTGAATACACATCGACGACGGTCGTCCTGTGTGTGTTTTGTTACATCTTAAAGAGTTCCTTTTTCAAAACAAGTCTTCCAAAATTAAGACGACGCCAAAAGTATTCTCCCCACAAGCAGACGATCGCGATTGGCGCGAAAGTGACTTCTCTTCCAGAAAGTAAACTCAAAGTCAATGTCAATATCGCTTCGACTGGCAGACGATCTCGATAACCGTGAGGGGGCGATAAACGTGGTCGCGATATTAATCAGAATTGTTTCAGTTATGGCGATTCGCCGCTGCCGTCAAAGATAACCCCCGCTTGTCATTTGCGTATCGTCGCAAAGGTATACAATAACCCAAGATGTATTCGATTCTTAAGACACCGTTGGTATGAGGAGGGGGTTGTTTGCGTGTATGAGGGGTTTATCAGGCACTATCTCGTATAGTGCATTAAGATGGGATGGTTCATGAATAATGCATGAGGCGTTTTGTCATCCCACCGATCCCTATTGTTAATCATATCGATACTCTTATTTTGGAGGACATCAGGCTTACTCGCTTGTCTCAGATGTCCAAGACCGTAAGCAACATCTTATAATTAAGAAGAAGACAACATGCCAATTAACTTTGAACGCTAGGTATACAGATGATAGTAATTACACTGAAAAAAAACAGTACCATCAGGCAAGCGAATTTAAACCTCACCCGATTAACTTTTCATTTGTCTAGATGTTAACCAATTTTAGTCTAAGGTCTCTACTTGCGACTACGTTGTAAGAACTAAGGGCAAGATTAAAAGAAGACACCTTTGTAGGTGCTATGCCCCCGTGTAGCGGCTCACTTGAGTAAACACAGGACAATGCTTTTAATAACGGAGAGGTTTTTCAAACCCGAGTTCGTAGTGAGTGTTTTGTTCACTCGCTCTCCCCTGGCGTCATTTAAAAAGATCCCCTTCAAAAGACACCGATGTATTAAATAGAGTTGCGCTCGTTTAATAGAACTAAAATGAGAGTAGGCCGACGGCAAACAATGGAAGAAGCCTCTTTCTGTTCTCGTTTAATAATGGGCCAACTTTATTTCTCAACGTTGGTGAAGAGTGTTGTGAAATAGTGTTTACCACAAAGTCGAGGCAAGAGCGGGTTTCATAATTTATAAACGATCGAAAAGGGAAACAGAGTGGTGTGTGAGCGTGTGTGTGTGTGTGTGGGGGGGGGCAGAGTATATCAAAGAAAGTGGGATTGAGAAGAGAAAACAAAGTGAGGAAGAGAAGTAGAAAAGCAAGATGTAAATTGTACAGGGAGAATGATGACCAGGGGCGGATCTAGCTTTATGCCAGGGGGGTGGGGGGTGGGGGGGGGGGGTGGGGGAGCGGGTTAAACCCCCGAATCCCCCCATAGATCCACCCCTGATGACGAGAAAAGGGGAGGGTGGGAGATATTAAAAAAGGCGTTTCTTTTGATGTGTTTGATTCCTCTCATGAGCAATTTATTGACAAAGATACGGTTGGAGGTCGTTTCCCAAACCGAACTACAGAGGGCAATGAATCTTCGGTGTGCATACTTTAAAGTGATCATCACTATCAGATTTTCCAGACAGACCCAAGCACATTCTATTTTCACGGAAATTAATCTCATGAACCACCTTTTACTTAAATTCTTTAAAAAGATGATCTAAACATACATCAATAATCATGGATTAGTACACCTGTAGATTTGCGAAGTTTTTTTTGAGGGATAAAGTTCTTGGAAGATGATAACCAAGGTAACTTTAAAGCTTATCTGCCATAGTTTACAGGAGGGATTAAACCGCTCTACAAGGTCGCTGGACAGGTGGTTATCTCATTAACTCAGCTCTCAGTTAACATAAGAAAAAGAGGATCATGGGGGATCAATGGTCACCGATTAGGCATTGTTTGTTATATAGAGGGCGCAAGTAGCTACCAGTAGTGCAGTGGGCCTTTAAGTTTTTGTTGTAAGATGATGCTTTCTTCATTGACAAAATGAAAGTTTCAATTACCTCTTCCCTCCATCTGTATCTCTATCTACGTCTCTCTTTCTGTGTCTATCTTCCTCTTTCCTTGTCGTTCTCCCGTCTCTCCCATTTTCTCTTTCTTTCTCTCTCTCTCTCTCTCTGTATATATATATATATATATATATCTCTCTCTCTCTCTCTATGTATCTCTCTGTATCTCTCTCTCTCTTTCACAGATACCCCTCCCCTAAACCCGTCACTTGTCATTTAAAATGCGGGCATCATACATGGAAATAATATATTGAATACACAAGTCAATTCATATATTAAATTGGTGTTGTGGTACATATATTTATTGTATTATGCAATGCAAACACAAACAACTATGCCACCTTTAGTGATAGAAATCTCTTTCATAGAAAAAAAACCCCTCATCATATTGCAAAACTATCTTTCACTCAAATAGCCTAACATCTAAGCAATTTAACAAAATATAACGTGTTTCATTATTTTACAAACCATGGCAAGCAATTACCCTGCTGAAGATGCGTTAAATGAAAGTAATAACATTTATCAGGAAAATGCTAAGAAGAAATATTGAACGCAATTATATAAAAGATAATTGAATATAAATAAGATAATATCTTCAACAGGAAAGGTGATTACAAAGAAAAGGAAAAAGTATTATTTACAAAAAAATGATTATAGGATAACCAATCCTATGTATCATATTCATCATGGTTGACTTGGTAATTATGTATCAAACTATAGTTTAATAAAATTTCAAGTAATGTACTTGTCTTAAAGCAGGACTGCCCTACTTGTAGCTATTTGAGCCCTCTTTACAGCCAACAATGCCTAAGTGGTACCGGTTGATCTCCAACGGTCCCCTTTTTCTTATGTTAATTGAGAGCTGATTTGATGAGATAACCACCTGCCAGTGACCATGAAGGGAGGTCTAATCCCTCCTGGCCAAACTAGTGCAGTGGGGCTTTAAACTATACTAAAATGTGAAGTCAATTCTGAAATGCCAATAAAAAGTTTTTGTTTGTTTTGCAGTCCATTTCATATGTCTGTTCAATGTTTCATTCAAACTTGATATCTGATACACCCATAAATACATGATATCATTAATGTTGATTCATTTACCAGATTTGTTATGCACACTAGAATTTAATTAAATTGAATGATGTTTTACAGACGGGTTACAATCCATACTTTGTTTTTACCTTGTAAACTAAAGTTTGAAATGATGCGAACTGCTTAAGACTGATCAACAACTTAGATCTACAAACATCATGTTCTTCACCTAAAATATCATATACACGGAAAAACGTCTCTTCATGATTATTTTGAACTCCCTGTGAGGGGTGCGGAAAGAATGATAAAAAACAAGCATTCTCAATCTAAAAAAGCCAGTGATTCAAAATAAGGGGCGAGGGGAACATTAGCTGCATTTCAGCCCCTTCTCCACCTCCAGTATTAAACAAGTGTTCATCTGTGCACTACATACGCAAACAGATGTGGTGCCGTTGCATTGTGATAACAATTATAAAGTGTATTCTGGATGTTCTGCAACTTTCACCCATTCCATATCGAATGAGTGTATCAAATATACATGTATCTATGGCCTGCAAAATAATAAATAGAATACCTTACTAGATCTTACACAATATGAAAGTAAATGAAATGTGGACAAGTAAAATATTGCTAAATTGCTAGCTTTATTTATTTATTTATTTGTTTTTAAAATATTTTTTTTTGAGGGGGGGGAGGGGAAAGGTATACATGTAATTCCAAAAGGAATTTGGAAATACTTGTAACTACATGGACATTTCTCAGTTTCGCCACATATGCAAGGATGCGTATGAACTTTGTGAAACAAATTGCAATGAATTCATCATGAAGTGTCAAAAGTTGTCTCAAATACCACAAATATATCAATATGCATGACTGTCATATAATAATGAGCAAATAAACAACATGACTATACAAAGGCAACAATTCCAATAAATGCATGTGAAAAATTGATGGTGTAGCTATGAAGGAGATAAACACGATAATCAACGACCGGTATTTTAGACCCTGATACGAATCCTTCTTCATTCATCTACTGGTATCTTTTGGGTTCAGCAAGGATATAGGTTTTTACTCCAAGATGTATGTTCAATACTTGTAATAAATACTCATTACACTAAAAAGTAGTAAGGATTTATTCTTTTCCTTGACATTACGCAGTTCTCGAGATAGCTAATACTAGTAAAATCCAATTCTGAACATTGGCAATGAAAGAAACAAAATTTCTTGCCAAATACTTGCAAATCAATGAAAGCAATCACTAAATTTCTTTACTTTCCAAACTTTTCAGTATATTCTTTAGAAAAATGCTGCACATCTAAGATACAAAAATAGACTTAAAGAGATTTTATACAGCTCATTTTGTAGTGTCTGCTTCGCAAGATGAAAAGCAATACGTATGTGTGTAGACATTAAACTTTCCATACCTCTCCATAAATGATTTTGGTTCACACATACTTAATGTTGCATGATATATTGACAATACTTGTTTTATATACAAGATATACCTGTGCTAACTGACACACACACACACACTTGTTTTATGACACCCATTTGTTCAATTTGGTGTCCAACTCATGATTATATTGAACACATCATAGAGATGGAATGTACATGTAATTGTACAATGTCACTTTATTGATATACCAGGATATATAGTCATAACACCTCTTTGATAGCAGAGGTACAAAGACTATGTGTAGTACTCTCAATGAAAACTTTAATACTAAAATACATTTTCATGTTGCAGTGCACAAAAGCATTCTTTGTTGCAAGTCTTTCTGTGAATTAAAGCCCATTCATATCAACAACCAGAAACCTTGCTTGAAGCTAGACATAAACTGTATACAAATTGAAAATAAGCAGATACCGGTGAATAAAAGAAGACGCATAAATATTTGCTATTTCAAAAAGGGCACAGAAATGATGTCTTCAACTCTCACACAGAACACAAGGAGTGCAATAAAGAGATGAATGGTCGCATAGGATTACAATCAGTTGTTCTTGAAGGCCCTGTAAAGCATCAAAGCCCCCCCCCCCCCAAAAAAAAAACCCCAAAAAACAAAAACAAAAAAACAAAGAGAGTCAAACCTGCATTAGTGGCCACCTGTCTATAAAGACCATGTATTTTGTCTCCCTTGAGAAAGAAATGTGCGTTGTAGTACCTGTCTAGAAAGGCCACCTGTTTTCCTTGGGTGGCCTTTATAGACAAGCAGGCCCAGGAATTATTCCTCCTGATCCATTAAACCAAGCAAGATTGGCTCCGAGGACTTCAATGTTGTCCAGAAATCAAAAGCCTATATCTTCATAAGTTATTTCTTGCAACACAAAATCATTCCCAAATTCAAATCGCAACCGTAAGCAAGCTGAATAACCAAGATATGAAATTCTTGAAGGAGCCACAAGGTATGTACATTACTCATTACTAGGCACTACAGGGAAGTATGAAAATGAAACTTGAACAAAAGTTGGATTGAATTCTCCAACTTCACCTGAAGAAGAATTTGATGGTGACTAGATAATCTACAGATCGAAACAATCCAACCTTTGTCAAAAGGTGAGCTGTGCAACAGGAGAAAACAGGTGGGTGTAGGTTTGAAAGAAATCAGACAGTGAGAAAATTATGAACCCTTGAAATATCTAAATGTTAGGAAAATTCATGGTTTTCACAATGTTTTATCCAGTTTTGCTCAAACTTTCACAAATAGTTATCTGATTTTTCTTGCTGTGTGACAGAAGAAAACAGGTATGTATAAGTTTAAAAGATATCAGACAATAGGACAGTTAAGAACGTCTGAAATATTTAAATGTTAGGAAAATGTGACATCATAAAATCAATTTTTCGGAATTTCTCAATTTTTTCTTTATTTTCTGAAAGAGCATCAAAAGTAATGTCCAAATGTCGAAAACCAATTGAATATGTTAAGTAATGGCAGAGATATGACCATCTGAATAAATAGATTTCCTTTAGAAACTCAGTGTTATATTGCTCTGGCTCGTAATGTTATGAACCAGAGCAATATATAACACTGAGCTCCCATAGGAAATCTGTTTATTCAGATGGTCATATTTCAGCCAATACTTGATCTTTTGGAAAATGAAGAAAACAAATTGAGAAATTCCAAAAATAGGTCTTTGATGATGTCACACTTCACCACTCTATACACAACCATCATTCCACACCCCCAAGGCAACTTTCTGCAAACATCCTTGACTGAATCAACCACCTCCCTCCGCTCCCATCTCCCGTCTCAGTAATCATCCAGGCAGTCTTCCGTCACCCCTTGCGACGCCAGCTCTCCCAGGATGTTGGTGAAGTAGTTGGGGTCCGGGAAGCCGTGGCCCGTCACGTTGGAACCAAACTCTGTCTTGTGATGGATCTCGTTCCAGACCACGGTGTTGGGTTCTCCCGTCGTGACCGACGTACCGATGGTGAAGATGAGCCGCCGCTCCCAGGCGATGATGAGGAGGCGGAGAATCTATTAAAGTGAACAAACAATGCACAACCATTTAAAGAGAAGGTTGAGTTCTGGGAGGAGGTGAACAATAATTTGGGAGCGTTATCATTGTATTATGCAAGTGTGGAAGAACATCAGATAAAAAAACGTTTCCTGAAAAGCATGGCTCTTCAAATGCCTTAATATTTTAGCTATGGCATGTAACATCATAACAATTAGAGACAGATGTTTATGCCACATGTTTGTGTAGTCGCATATACATCTCTCAGTGTACAGTGCTTGTAACTTTACCAAGACAGGGCCAAATTTCTTATCAGTTTGATGATTCCAGAACCTTGGAGTACACACCAGTACTTATATGCTAGATGATCAACCTTTTTTTAAATCGATTCCACAACGTTTCCTTCACAATGCAATCGCATGACCAGAACTCAACTTTATCTCTAACAACAATTCTTTGATGTGGATGCATCAAGGAACACAGGTTCATTCACAACTTTTACATCTTTCCAATTCGCTTGTACTGACAAATGTAGCAAAGCCAACAATCCAATAGACCTTCACTTTATCATCATTAAAAGCACAATTTACTGTCATTTTCAAATCCTCACAGAAAAACCTTTAAGAAGTCTTAAGTTAAAATGCTCGAGTGCGGGATGTTCAAGCAGTACAAGCAATTTCTATTTAAGTTCTCAATGAAGCATTGAAGTCTATATCTGTATATAGTAGTTCTAAAATGTCTCCATATTCTCATTACCTTTCTGCTTATTTCATTGTCAGGTAGATAACACATTCTGGGGAATCCCCTTGATGAATATCTCCTGCCTGGACTAGGATGCTCTGGACCCTGAATAGAGAAGGATAAAAAGAAGATGAAATAATTTTAAAGAAATGCTTCCAGCTGACATGTTGGACCTTGCCATACAAAACACAAATGCATAAGACAAAAAGCTTGAAAAGCTCACATGCAATAAATGTTCTATATAGTTTTATATTACTATAATAGATTGACTGATATTGTTAAGTGCATGAGGATTTTGAAGGTACTGATATACCGGGTGAAAAAAATGCAATATTTTCAGTATAATTCTGAAATATTACACCCTGTTTAGAAACGATATGCAGAGTAAAGTCACCGCAAAGATACTGTTGCGGCACGATTAAACATTACAAATGAATCTGAATGGCAAGGAGGGGGGGGGGGGGGGGGGGGTTTGAAGTAGATGAGTGCAAAACAAATAATCTACACTATACACCTACTCTGAGTGTTATAACATACAGCTTTATGACAAAGGTGGTTTGGCCAGTTTGATTCATCTCAGCTTGTTAACTGTGCATTAGACTGACCTGTGTTCCTGGAGGAATATTATAGATGATACGTATAGTCCCGCATGATGGGAAACCGGGCAGGGAATGTGGTATGACGTGATAGTCCATCGACCCGGGAGGCTGATTGCCGCATTTCACACCGTAGATGGCTTTACAGGTAGGACACTGTATACTGCCATCCTGAGTCATAGTAAGAGAAGAAGAGGAAGAAAAGAAAAGAGAAAATTTACATAATTTCATTTCCATTTCTGAGCCTGAGAAGGTCATTATGTGTGATTTGGGATGATACGATGGTGCTAAAATCTACAAAAATGGCTCTTTTCCATTTATAATAAACGGAAACTTAAGAGACATCCAATGTAAGTATATATACAATGTAGTTACATGCATATGTGTGGCTATGTTAAAGCTGTCAAATTTAAACTGCTGTTGCTGCCAACGTATCTTAAAACTTCATGCTTCATGGATATACTTCAGCATTTGCAGTGAAAAGGTCTTTAGAACACACCACACTTTACTTTGTCTAGTCACTAGAGTGATGAATAGTTTAACCCTATTTAGCCCGGGCTATTTTGAAACTGCATAGCCCGGGGGGGGGGCTTCTAAGGCCCCCCCCCCTATGATCTCGGCCGTGAAACGCCCGATCGCCGCGAAAATTTGCATACATGTCAAGTGAAGTGTATAGAATACTATGGTAATTTCAATTTTTTTGAAAAATTCACTCATTTGCATATTTATGGTAATTTATGCAAATAAGGTCATTAAATTCACATTTTTGCCCATAAATCAGACATTATTCATATTTAAGCATTCTTTCTCACTACATATATTTGTTAGACCATTTGGAATAATAATACAACACAAAAATTTGAAAAACCAGGGTTATTCCTTATGTTATCTATTGTTTTGATAATTTCTTATGTATTTCTTTGTTTTTTTAACTTATGTATTTTATTGTTTTTGTTGTTTTATTTCATTTCCAACTATAATTCAACTATTTTGACCCCAAAATAAACACCTAAAATCTAAACAAGACCAAATAACCAATGTTTTACCTCTTTATTTGAAAAATGAGATTTCCATATGTTTTGTACACAAATCACAAAAATGAGCGATTTTCGGGCTGACATGCGAAGACAAAAGGACACGTGCCTTTGTAATGGTAGGTCCGATTTTCGAAAAATTTCTTTCAAAAGTTGCGCAAGACTCGAAAGAAAAAAGTCACAAAATTTCAGTGCAAGATTTTCTTGCGTTAAAAAATTATCGCGAAAAATGTTGAGGGGGGGGGCTTCTGAAGCCCCCCCCCCCCCCCGGGCTAAATAGGGTTAACCCTATTATTTTTGTACACGGACCAAATTTCTGATACACCTGATGAACAAATAACTGTTTGTGTATTTTCAGAAATATATTTGAGAGTATGATTAGTAGTAACAATTGTTGTTTTAATACTCAAATTGCTTGAGAACTTTTTACAAGACATTCATAATGCGACTTTGACATTGAGATGAGCACTTTTTTTTACCCAATGCAAAACAATCAAATAAATGTATACACTACTGATTGTTTTCCAGTATTTCACTTTTCAGAGAAGTTTCTTTCTCTTACCTTTGGTCCGCTGTTGTACATGGCATATAGACAGCTCTGGTGAAAGAAGTGACGGCATCGCTCTAGCTTAAGAACGCTATCTCCCTCCTCCTCATCCTCGTTATAGTGGGATACATTGCACAGCTTCTCAAAACATATAGGACATTCCTGCAAGATAGTATTAAAGAATGAACTGTGTTACTTTGCCCCTATGTTTGAATAAATTCTCCTTAAAATAGGCAAAGAGGACACTTCTGTAGACATAGGATTATAATAATAATAATAATGTTCCGCTTTATATAGCGCTTAATACATCTACGATGTCTCTCAGCCCTTTACAGATATACTATTACCCCGGTCATTGAATTTAATACTGGATCGCACACACTGTGTGCACAATCTCCACTCTCTGGTGAGCATTCCAGCCAGGCATTACTTGATGCTCAAAAACTGTTTGATCAACAATGATGGTCGCATCCTACCGGGTACCCATTTAACACCTGGGTAGAGAGTGGCAAATGCAGGTTAATATCTTGCCAAAGGATATTAGTGCCGTGTCGGGATTCAAACCCTCGACCTTCGCATCTCCAGTCAAGCGCCTTTAACCACTCAACACTCCTGCATATAAGGAGTACATTTGAGATCTTTTCGAGAGAGAGAGAGTACCTTGCACAGTTTCGCAAATCATACAGGGCATTCCAGGAAAACATAAGGGAAAGGAATGCACATGTATAATTGTGATAATTTATATCTGTACTCGTTACAATGTAAAGGGATAATTTTGTACCACATACAGGATTCGGATGTAGAACTGTGTCACCTGGTAATAAGATGTACATGTACAGCCATGACTTTTCAAAACAAGGGAAAGAAATAAATACAATCGGGTGCATTTCTGGAATATTATTCTAACTGACTATAACTTCCAAAAGAGCGATGGCAAATGCCTACCTCATCAGGCGGACTTTCTTCTTTCTCTACGTATTTGCTGATGACCTCCTCAGCAGTTTGACCTGAAAGATATAGACACAAGTAATAATAATAATAAATACTTATAAAGCGCACTTATCTAATTACTTACTCAAGGCGCTATACAAAACAAAAAACACAAATTTCTCTTCAGAATTTTAACACCATAATATCATCAGTAAGTAAATAAAATCTTTTTAACATGTTTCTGAAAGGTTTCTACATGTGATGTAATACATTATCATGCTATTCATAATGTATCAAATCCATTATCAAACACCACTGACAAGATACCGAGCACATCAATATTTGTTTAATTTGCAAAAGAATAACCAAAGATGTTGTGCAGTTTTCAAATCCACACTCTTATACCTCATTGGATGTCAATAGTTTTTCAAATGAAGAAAAAATTTGTCCCTTTAAAATCACTGTAAGATCAATATAAAATGTTGAACTTTCATTGTAAAATTTTTCATTATAGAATGCATATTAGTTTGTGAGTTTTGAACCAGGAATATTTGCAAAGCATTGGTTTTGCTGACACAGTACACACAAGTTTTAATACAATGCATACACCACTCTGCATGAAAATTTACACTGCAATAAGATGAATTAACACTAACTGTTGAACTTTTTTTCATATGTAGTATGACTAAGCATTTTTTTCGCACTTCAATTCCAAATTGTAATATACAAAATATTGTGTATTACTGCCACAAATTTGAAAAACCATGCTTGTGAACTCAAGAACATCATATTTTCTCAAAGTTACCTTAGCATTACGAGAAAAGGAAGATGTAAGGATAAAAAAGAAAAGAGAGGGCAAAGATAGATAAGGAAAAATGATAAGAGGCAGATACACTTGAGGGAGAGAGAGAGAGAGAGAGAGGGAGGGGGGAGGCAGAAAGAGTATGAGAGAGAAAGAGTGAGAGAGAAAGAGTGAGAGAGAAAGAAAGTAAGAGAGAGAGAGACAGGGACAGGGAGAAAGAGTACAGTATGAGAGAGAAAGAGTGAGAGAGAATGAAAGCAAGAGAGAGAAAACAAGAGAGAAAGTGAGAGAGAAAGATAGAAAGAGAGAGAGAGAGACAGAGAGAGAGAGAGAGAGAGACAGACAGAAAGAGAAAGAGGTGGACGAAGAGAGACAATGAGATTGAAAATGGCCACCTACCCCTGAGCGATATCTTCCTCTTCTTCTTGCGCGGCTTGACCCCCTCCACCGGACGGATGCCCCCAGAGTTGGGCGGGGAATAGATGGGCGTCCTGACGGGTACGAGCTTGATAGGCAGGGCTGTGGAGAGCAAAATGCTCGTCATAGCTGGGGGGAAGGGAGGGAGGAGGGCGGACAGATAAAGCACAGACTTGATGATGGATGGTAGATTATGGTGTCAGTCATGAAGCGGTTAGATGAGATGAGTAAGTGACACATAGTTAAAGATAAAGTCGAGTTCTGGTCATGCGATTGAATTGTGGAAGAAACGTTGTGGAATCGATCAGAAAAGGTTGATCATCTATCATATATAAGTAATGGTGCATACTGCATGGTTCTGGAATCATATGATAAGAAATTTGGCCCAGTCTTGGTAAAGTTACAAGCACTGTACACAGAAAGATGTATATGGAACTACACGAACATGTGGCATAATTTTTAATGATGTTACATGCCGTACTTAGAATATTAAGGCATTTGAAGAGCCATGCTTTTCAGGGAACAACTTTTCCCTGATGTTCTTCCACACTTGCATAATACAATGATAATGTTTGCGGATTATTTTTCACCTCTTCCCAGAACTCAACCTTCTCTTTAACAACCAGATTATTCATACCCTTACCAAGTTTTGTAATTGTTTAAGTATGTAAACAATTCTCTTGTTCCCTTTTCTGTTTTTCTTGAGAATGTCACATATTAAAGCTTATATATCTAAAAGTATTCAACAAAGGTCCTAATTCAACCAGTCCACCTTTGATTCTTGAGTTATAAAAAACTTGAGATATATCAAATTTACAAGGGGTTTGAATAATTTAGTTGTTAACGGTTAGTTTCCTGATTTATAGTCAAAACATCAAGGGACAAAAGAATGGTCTTTTAATGCACTGCCAAAAAGGAGCTTTTCTCACTCAACTGTCAAGAGTAATATTGTCTGCTGTATTAAAGTAAGGCAAGAATTGTGTTGACTCTATGTACATGTATGGGTATGAATTAAATTAGATTTTAAAAGTAAGTAGAATGCCATCCCTAACTTTATGTTCCAATATGAATAGAAGAAAAAAAGAATGCATAAATGAAAGAATTTGATGATTTGATTTTAGTTCTCATGAACTTGCAGCTACAGATATCCAAGTCCAAAAGCTTGTTCATGCGCAGCAGCTGTTTGCACACGAGTGCATGCCAACGCTACTTATATATTCCGATGTCTTTGGAAGAAAGAAAATGTATATATTAATGAATTTTAAGATTTCAGATTTAGTATAGAAGGAATAGCAGCTACAGACATTCTAGTCCAAAAGCTTGTACATGGGCATGTACATGTACAGCAGCTAAATGTAAATACAATGTGTGAAATTTGAAGAATATGTAGAATTATACAATATATATCAATGATAAAATATAGGAATGGGTAAATTTTTAATAATTGATTTTCAGTTTAAATGGACTTGCCGCTGCTGTAGACCTAAAGTAGTATAGAATGTTTATGCATTTGCATTCACCATGGAAGCCATGAATGAAACAGACTTAATGTGCCCAGTGCCCAGCAAGTCAGTGATAAGTTTCTAACCATTTCCATCATTGGCAATTTTACTAAAAATTATATATATGTCATTTAGTATATTACAAATCCTGAAAACTGCAACAAGCACCCGCATTCCCTTTGATTTTCTTCTTAACTATCAGTAATATCAATATTGGTTAAAAAAAGAACGTCAATAAATCGATTGGGATAGTGCCCATTCTGCTGAGCATGCTCAATCCTGGGAGATGGGAGGAATCTCCCTGCTCAATCTATCAGAAACAGGCACTGCAGATATTGGTTTGAGATTGATATTAGATGTTTAACACACAAATCAGAAACCAAATAGTAGGAGAATGTTAATCACAACAACCATTAATATCAAGCAATCATGCTTCTTTACATAGAATGGATCTAAAAAAATATATATATCTTTTCACGCAAAGCGAGCAAAGACAGAATGAGGATATAATATAAGTATCGGGAGTTGACTTTTCTTGATCTAAATTACATGGTTATGGTTACAATCTACAGTTCACCATGTTTCCAAACATTACAGCAGCCATTAGTTAACTTTGTGATGTCTCCCAGTACATTGGTAAAATAATTACAGTTTGATACAAAGGAGGAGAATCCTTGAAAATGTGATTTTAAAAAGATCAGACTTTACAACGAGGTGAGTTGGCTCAGTTGGTAAAGCACTTGCCTGTTGAACCACAGATCGTAGGTTCAATTCCAACCCAGGCCCATGACAGTGGAAACACTCTGTCCCTCGGATAGGATGTTAAATAGAGGCCCTGCGTAGAGGAGACTCACCACCTTTGCAATGTCAGGAACCTACTGCACTATTTGTATAAGACTAGGCCTGAAACTCTGGTTCATCCACCTGCACATCCCAAACAGATATGCCGGAGGAGAGACCCCAGGGGTTATAGTGATGCAGTCTGCTTTTGCCCTTCAACGCAGCTGTGATAACGACTTGTGAACCCACTGCCTACTGAAACGGGGAGGTCCCTGTATGAAGCTTATGGGAATTAGAGGATTCAGTCAATGGTTGACTCTGCCCTACTTTGGATGGGGATTTCCCCTAATGTTAGGGATTTTCCCTCAACAAATGGAAACTACTCAAATGCCTAGATGGTCTGATGTTGTGATTAATTATTGAGATTGAATAGATGCCCTGTACCCCCTCCCTAGTATACCTGTCATAACAGGGCTGAGCCTTGCACCTGCTGCGTTGGCTGTCCTGGTCTGGATGGTACATGGTGTCGAGTGAGACCTGAAGGTAGATAGAGAGATCAAAGAAAGAGTCCTCAATGTAGATGCCTGGCTCTGGGGCCTGTTTCAGAAAACTTGTTATCAATAACAAGTTACAAGCTACTGAAATCATGGCATCAGATTGGCTGAGAGCAAATTAGATAACAAGTTTTATGAAACGGCCCCCTGGACTTGCTTTGGTAAACATCATTACAATATTCATCTATCTGTCATCTGAGGTGGTACACATGAGTAAACGTATAACTAATTTATCCTTCTTTAAAGGCCCACTGCACTACTTGTAGCTACTTGCGCCCTCTATATAACAAACAATGCCTAATCGGTGACCATTGGTCCCCCATGATCCTCTTTTTCTTATGTTAACTGAGAGCTGAGTTGATGAGATAACCACCTGTCCAGTGACCTTGCAGGGCAGTCTAATCCCTCCTGTAAACTATGGCAGATAAGCTTTAAATGAATGTTATAAAACAAGATAATACAAATATGGTGCTATTGGTACATCAGCTTTAATGTTTAATTGTGCATCAAGCAGAATTTAACTTTTCTTCTTTTTCTAATTCATTTTTTTTCAAAGTAAACTTCTTATGTTGTGTTCCTGTGGTATCACTATTAACAAGTACAGGAAAAAATATGTGGAGCATCTGCCAAGCACATGATAGTATTAACAAACTGATTTTGTGTTGTTGACAATACCTTCATATTATAATAATAATAATAATATTGAGTATTTAAAATTTAAATCATATTATGATACTGAGGGAAGAAATATGTCTTAAAGGTAAAGACCAGTTATGGTCATGCGATTGCATTGTAAAAGAAACGCTGTGGAATCGATCAGAAAAGGTTGATCATCTAGTATATAAGTATTGGTGTATACTGCAAGGTTCTGGAATCATCAAAATGATAAGAAATATGGCCCAGTCTTCGTAAAGTTACAAGCACTGTACACAGAAAGATGTACATGTATATGGGACTATATGCACACATGCGCGACACATGCGCTTATCTCTCACAGACCATGTAGATAAACTAATTTACCAAATATATCAATTAGTAGGCGGTTTACCGGCAAAATTTTTATCATCATGTATTAGTCAAAACATATTCTTTCACATGATTGGTAATAAGAGCTTCCATTTCATTTTTTGAAATTGGGGCATTTCCAATACTGGTCTTTACCTTTAAGGGATCTTTGAAAGAGGCGAGACAGGTTTATTCTCCGATGGAAAGTGGGGTATTGATCCATGTTTTCGAGACAGCCACTGTAAAACGTCTTGCTTTCTTAAAAGTCCATCTGCACTAGTTTGGCCAGGAGGGATTAGACCTCCCTGCCGTGGTCACTGACAGGTGGTTATTTCATCAAATCAGATCTTGATTAACATAAGAAAAAGGGGACCAAGGGGGACCAACGGGCACCGATCATGTATTTTTTGCTATATAGAGGGCGCAAGAAGCTACATGTATAAGTAGTGCAGTGGGGCTTTAAAACTTTTAACCGTCTTACTTTCTCATTCTTGAGGTTGTAGCAGCAGCAGCGGCAGCTAGGTGTGACATGGTCGCACTCTGGGTGAGAGGTGGCATCCCGAGACCAGAAGAGCTTTGGACAGGACTCGCTGTGGCATGATGTTTGCTGCCCTCACTTGACTGACCAGCAGCCATGGATGCCGGCACACTCACCGACCTGAATATGGTAAAGTGGCAAGATTTAAAGAGACTTGTCATCTAATATGAATTCCATGGTTTGTCGCTTAGAGAACAAAAATTTGCATGGACCATGATGTTGTTAGGTGTTTCTCATTCATGACCATGTCGGTATTTAAAAAAATAAATTAAAAAAAGTGTTGTTGTTGTTGTTGACAATACAGTTGCCTTCATATTATAATAATATTTAGTATTGAGGTATTATACTTGCACACAAGTTATTCCTGTTTTATTGAGACTAGAATGACATCTTTCACAAATTATTCATCTTCCATAAAGACTGACATCAAACCAAAGCCTTCTTGAAGTACATATCTGTTGTAATAATGCATAACTAATCAAGTTGACAACATCATGTTAAATGGAAAAAAATCACAGAGATTCCGAACAGTTCTGGAAATAAATGGTTAGAAGTACAGGTTTACAAGCAAAGTGAGACATTAAAAATTCATCACATCATCTAATAGTACAGTAGCTTTTAATGTAATCTGTGCAGTCATATACTGTAAAATGAACAGAAGTTACAATTTCTTTGCTAATATAGATTGAGTAACCAAATAGATCCTGTTTACATTCACACAATTACACGTAAGTGTCAAGGTTACCCGAAAAAAAGAAACCCTAAAAAGAAAGAAAAATGTTCAAACCTTGGTAAACTGCTCCTTCCAGTACTCCCCGTAGAGGATCCCGCAGAACTCGTACTGGCAACATCCGGATCTCCAGGGCTTGTCCATGCCACAGTGGCTTGCACATCCCGCGTCGCTGCGACAGCCTTACGAGACGATGATCTCTTCCCGTGAGACCTCTTCCCTGCTCTTTGCGTTGCTGTTCCCGTAGACGGGGGCTCCACTACCTGAGGCACATTTGGTGTAGTTGTTGTGGTGGCAGGGCTCGGCGAAATTTCATCGTCCGTTTCTTTGATAGGTTCCGATATCGAGAGCGACGTCGGCCGGGACAGTTCCACGGCCTCTGACAGCAGCTCCCCGGCTACGTCGCCCGTCATTTCAATTTGACACGATTCCAACGTCACATTCGCGTTATCGTTTTCCTTTATACTAGCATCGGCTCCGGGATCCACCTCTAAAACGGCGCTCAATTCCGGACTTCCGCTGGCGCTAGACACCTCGCTTAATGACGGAACATTAGTCACCTTTGGGTACGTCTCGACAAGCACGACTCTCCGTAGCTTCCGCTTAAACCCAGAAGTCCTACGTACCTGCATCATCTGCGTGTAGTCTATGATGTAGGGTAAATGACACTTGGTCTTGGATAGGTCTATAGAGGGTAGGTTCTGCTTGTAGGCATCCTCTACGATAGTACTGGTGTCCAAATCGTATTGGATCCAGCCGCTGTTGTCCTCCCATTGCCATTCCACACCTTGTCCTGCAGGGGAACTGCCTGGTAGCTGTCTCCTCCTGATAGGTCTAGCGTTACCTGTAACAAGAGCAAAGTAAAGAGTTTCTGTATCATCCTTGACGATGTCTTTCACTTTATTCTAGACCTTATCTGCCCATTGACATCCTACACCTTGTCCTGCAGGTGAACTCCCTGGTGATTGTCATCTCATGATTCAAACCACTCAGCTCTTACCTCTGCAAAAGTGCTTCCAAGGGCAAAAGAGAGAAAAGGGTAAGAATATTAATTTCCACAGAAAGTACTGCTGAGTAAAATCATAACCAGTAATAATCCTTGTTTTTTGCTGATTCAAGTAGGTTATTGTATATTCCAGTTTTTTCTCTAGAGCTGGCGTGATTTATGGACTTTCATCTTGAATTCATATAAATAACCAAAAAAAAACATTCACTGACTCACTGTGCAGGAGGCACATTGGGTACTTTACACATCAAAATCCTGAATTCAAGTGTATCATCTTAGGTACATGAAGGCTTACTCAAGGCAGTTTTGCCACCTTCAGCTTGCAAGTTTACTTTTTAACCTACAGGTGCATTTTGGGGTTTTGTAAATTAATGCATGTACTGTAGGCTCAGCATACATATGAAGTGCATTTAGCAATGAAAACAAAACTGATACAATGCTCTTTGATTGACAATCCCAGGTGGGCAGCTCAGACCCTTCCAGAGGATGAGTTAAAGTTTTGCTGTTCATTTATAGTGAAATGCAAAAATTTTGCAAATGACAAACAGTATCAATTTTGTTATTGTGAAACCTACAAGTACAGTAGAACACAAAGGCAGGACTTTGGGTTGCCTGAAAGAGGTTGTAAAATGGTAAATGCATGGTGTGTAGATTCATGTTCCAGTAATTTATGAGATTGTGGAGTGTGGACCATAATACACATGATGCTAGTTACTATCACATCACTAACATGTACATGCTTGCGACACGCGACCCAGGTCGGGTAAATGGGTACCTTGGAGGAACTAATCCCTCGAAATGTTACAGCGCCGTAATATCAGCCATGCTACTTTTAATGCCAGTATGATAATAATGGATCAAATGGAGTGTCAAGTACATGTATGACAGAAATGAGTGCTAAACAAGCACACAGTATTATAATTATACATGTATAAGTACATGTATGTATGTTTTCTAAGTAATGTCAAGCCCCGGAAAGGACTTTGCATGTTTGAGAGGACCTGAAGGAGAGAGGACCTGAAGGAGAGCTTGCAAAAGACTCCAGAGAATAAATTATAATGGCATTTTGTTCACACACTGTAAAAGACAAGGTTTAAGATTTCCTGTTATTTCCTTCATAATATTCACCAATATACATGTAGCACAATCAAATATAAAATGATAAAGATATACATGTACATGTACAAAATGTAAGCCTGTTCACCAGTCTAACAAAGTGAAGTGACAATTTACCATACAAGTGCATGTACAGTATACCACCTTCTGAAGTCCTATTTGTTATTCATCCATTTTCCCTCCACCTTGTTTATGTACAGTATGAAAGTCCACATTGCAATAAACAAAGGAAAAATAGCACCCTACCTGCCATAAAATATTTAAAAAGGTAGAATAAAACTGAGAAAATATATGCTTTCTATGACAATATGTATATGGGTGGGCATCATGCCTGATGGACCTGGTGCGCTTTATATTAAAGAAGCGACCATTTTAGTTATTATTATATCACGTTTGTGTACACATGCACACCACAGGGCTTGTACATAAGCAATGTCAGCTTCCCCCAGAAGGCATTGAATAATGATGAAGGGGCTCCCGCTCGCTCCGATGTTAAAAGCATTTCCTAGAAAGAAAATTACGACTCCAAGCTCTGATCCATTACAGCATTCGAGGCAGGATGTATCGAAATCGTAAGGAGGTTTGGGTTCTCAGTAACACAACATTGATTTATTAATTATGTGAGAAGTCAAGAGAGGCAGTGACCTTCCAACAGTGGCTAATGCACCCCCCCCCCCCTTTTTATGAACCTTGAATAACCAACAAAAACATTTGCCCCTCCAACAGTGTATTGTACCTGTACATGTTACATCGTGCCTCCCCCCTTTACAAAATCTGGGACTGCCCCTGCTTTGCACACTTAAAATTGTGAATAATTATGATTAACTTTAAAAAAATAGGGAATGTGGATTGTGGAAACAATCCCTAACTGGGTAACATCATAAAATGCCTGACATAGCACCTGTCATTATATCAAGGTAGGTTGTGAGCACAGGTGAATTTGTTTTAGTGGAAGAACATGGAAGCGAAAAGGGAAAGTCTTGAAAACTCTGAAAGACCTCTCAACATCTCCAAAAGAGAAGAATAGATATTCATGAAAGTTCAATATGACCCTAGGAAATCTTGTTCATAAAGAGCTCCCCTGAACAAGAAATTACCTTTTAAACTGTTTCATTTGAAACCCTTAAAGCTGTTTTAATCAATGGTAACTTTAACTTGCCATTGGTAAGGTACACATTGTAAATGCTTACTTCATCTGAAGGTCATCTTACAAACAGACAAAAATGAATTGGAGTTGATGTTGTTATTTTGGTTTTATCGGCGTTTTATTTACACCGGTCCCTTTTTTTTTTTTTTTTAATATTTGTAAATTCGTACTCTTCATAATGAGGGGCTGGTTTTATACCACAAGCCACATGGGATGTAGCAAGACCTACAGGTGTATGATACATTCTACAATTTTAGCACTTGATGAAGATACATACAATGTAACACATGCATGTCTTATTGCACATCCAAACTTTTGTGAACCAGTTTGTGTAATTTGTTTTGCTCTGTGATTTACATGTACATGTATATACTTGCAATAATAAAACAAGTGTATTTCTTTCTTTCTTTTTTTTAATCACAGGGGCGACTCAAGTATATTGATAACCAAGTTCAACGTGCCCTCTAAACCTACAGTATCTCCATGCAGGTACAGTCGGGCAGAAGCAAATGCTGCGGGCCTTGTCTGAGCAGAAGAACAGCGTGGCCTTTAAACCTCCGTCTATACACAAGATCAGCATGCCGGATGTCATACTGACAATGCACACAGAGAGGGAAACGTCGATAGACTGCGGCAAATAATTACGTTGTGCTCTGGCTGATAGTGAAACGCGAGTGGGTTTCAGAGGAGAGTTCGCGAGGGGAATGTAATAATGTTTTCTCTCGTCAACGACATGTGATTCCGGGGTAGGTGTGAGTTTCTACCTTGGGGGGAGCGCACAAATACACTGGAATACGTGACGAAGGGACGGAAGGGACGGAAGGGACTCACTTCAGATGTAAACAATCTTTGGGAAAATAGATAAAAGTTGAGAGAGAGTGTCCATCGATAATGACATCAAGCATGTAGAAGCAATCCTAACTACCTGTTGCTAGAAGAAATAGGTGGATGTGGAACATCAGAGGTTAAATACTAGTAATAATCATTAAAGGCATCGTTTAACAATGTGTTACAGTATTACAAATCTGATATGCATGGCCCTACATGTTATCAGTGTCTGTGATATGGTGCAATATTGAAGCCCTAAAAAATTGCACTTCAAAATCATCACAAAGTGCCTCAAAAAAGAAAAAAAAATTGAGTGACCAGTATTACCATACTCATTTTCCTCAAGAGACTGTAATGTTATAAAAACCATTAGGAAAACGGTTTTTGAAGTTTTGATTTCCAATCATAAATATTTTGATAATCAGACAGCAGACCTGCCAACCTCTGGAGTTCAAAAACTGTATTTTTTAGTGTCAAAAGTTGTATTTTACTGACAAAAGTTGTATTCTTGAAAATAAACACAGATTGTTACGCGAATCAATGCCTCTTACAGTTTCTACCTACAGGAAGAATTTTTTTTATTGATCATTGGTTGAATATGCATTATTTCGTCACGACTGGTGTGTTTGGTGAATATAAACATCCCCAAATTGCCGACGTGAGATGCTTGTAGGATACTTTACAGGACAGAATGGACATTTTGCCATTGAAAATGGCAGACGCACACACAAAATATTAATAAATAAAAAAGAAATTGAATTAAAATTTAATTTTTTTTTTTTTTTTTTTTTTTTTTTTTTTTTTTTTTAAATCGTATTTTATTACGGAAAATCGTACTGTCGCATTTGCTTCTAAAAATCATACTAAATACGACTATGTCGTACTCGTTGGCAGGTCTGAGACAGGCAAGCGGCTTGTAAAAGTCATGGGATTCATTTCTTACCAAATGGTTTATAATTATGATTGCAGCATGAGCTAAATCAAGGATATTGTTTAGAATCTGAGGCAAAGATACCCAATCCCTTCAAAGGTTCCTTCAGCTATGACGTAGCAAAACCCCTTACCGGTAATTTTTAAACGATTTATGGCATAAAGTGTAATACACTTCACATTCCTGTATCATATAACACAGAGCTCAGGGAATGTGGCAAAAATCCTTTGTTGTGCGAAGTTGCTATTCGTTTACACATTTTTTTTAAATGGGGCAATTATTTAGCGGCAGTTTACTGCGTCATATGACTCGTATCTCAACAAGCCTTAAGTGTGAAATAAACCGATACTGACCTACAAGTCAGGAATGTAATTAATCATTTTTGTCATTCCATTTCTGTAAGCAATAATCCTCATAAATTCTCAAATATGATAACAAAACATTAGTACTGTATACACCCTGTATATGCACATAACAAGTAAACAGAAACTGAATCTGACACTCAAAAGTGATTTTCCTGCAATAAAACTGCCAAGAGATATTGGCAAAATAGTAGAATATACACGTAAGGTGCATTTATACTTCAAGCAAAAACCATTCTGTAGGTTTTTCTCGCATTCCGGTGTTTTGTGACTTTCATCAGAAATTACTTAACACAACAAAAAAACTCACCTCTGGAGTGTGTTTTTTAAAACTTTTTAAAGAATGTATAATATGTATTCAGAAATCTAAATTAACCAGTGGACCAACATGCTACTTTGCATGTAAACTAAAGCCAGTTTCATAATCCCCCCCCCCCTTCCTCCCTGTAGAAAA